AGGAGGGCCACTTGCATGATCAGGGGGCAGCAGGGCAGGCCCTACAAGGAGAGGCTACGGGACCTGAACCTGTTCAGCCTCCGCAAGAGAAGGCTAAGGGGGGATCTAGTCGCCTGTTACAAACTAGTCAGGGGGGACCAGCAGGCATTGGGAGTCCCTGGTCTGCTGAGCATTACCAGGAGTGGCCAGGAATAACGGTCACAAGCTGGCAGAGGGTAGATTTAGGCTAGATATCAGGAGGCGCTACTTCACTGTCAGGGCAGCTAGGATCTGGAACCAGCTTGCAAGAGAAGTGGTGCTGGCTCCTACCCTGGGGGTCTTTAAGAGGAGGCTAGATGTACACCTTGCTGGGGTCGTTTGACCCCAGTACTCTTTCATGCCATGGCAGGGGGCGGACTCGATGATCTGCTCAGGTCCCTTCCGACCCTAAAAACTATGAAACATCTTCATTGAAGATTTGTATAATGGGATCAAATGTATGCTTTGCAATTTTCCAGATGACACCAAGTTGGGTGTAATTGCAGATGCTCTGGAGGGCAGGGCTAGGATCCAGAACGACCTGCATAGAAATGGAAACATAGTTTGCAGTCAACCAGATGAGAATTCAGCATGGACAAGTGCAAAGACTTGCATTTAGGACAGAATAATTGTATGTACAAATACAGGCTAGGGAATGACTGACAGACTGCAGTACTGCACAGAAGGATCTGGGGGTTGCAATAGAACCATAAGGTGAATTTGAGCCAACAGTGTGCTCTTTTTTGCAAGAAGTCCAACAGTATCCTGGGTTGTATTACCAGGAGTGTCACTTGAAAATCAAGGGAAATGATTTTTTTGCTCTGTTCAGCACTGGTGAAGCCTTGCCTGAAGCACTGTGTCCTGTTTTGGGCCCCACACTTCAGGAAGTATGTGGATGAATTGATGGAGAGGAACAAAAATAATTAGAGGTCTGGGAAGCATGACTTATGAAGAAAGGCTGAAAAAGCTAAGGTTATTCAGTCTGGAGAAGAGGAGACTGAGGGGCGATTTGGTAGTGGTTTGCAGTTTCATGAAGCATGATTATAGAGAGCATGGAGATGGGCTTTTCTCTGTGGTTGTAGGAAACAGTACTAGCAGCAATAGAATCAAGCTGCAGCCGGGGAAATTTAGGTTGGAGATTAAGAGGAATTTTCTGACTTTGATGGTGGTCAAGCACTGGATCAGGCTACCAAGAAAAACTGTAGAATCTCCATCCTTGTTAGTTTTTCAGAGCAGGTTACACAGCTACTTGGCTGGGCTGGTTTAGTCAGGGATGATCCTGCCTTGAACAGGGAGCTGGACTAGATTACTTTGTGAGGTCCCTTGCAACCCTGCTTTCCTGAGGTTACTATTTACCTAACTGCTATTTTTTTTTGGCCTTATTAATGTAGGTTACCCATTGGATCTCTTACGGTGTGAGAGTTTGCTTGGCTTAGATCCAGCTACTTGTAGCAGAGTGCTAAATAAAAATTATACCCTGCTGGTCTCCATGGCACCTCTTACCAATGAAATCCGACCCATCAGCAGCTGTACCCCCCAGGTGAGAACATGTTTCAAAGATAGTCTATTGCATTTTGCTTTTAAATCTTTTAATATTAAAGTAGCTATATCTGGATCTTCTTAATTGAACATAGCTTCACTGGGACATTTGATTCCAATTATTTGGATGTATGACAGTATTCTAGCTCATAAAAATCAGAGAACATTGAATTTATAATATGTATGTTCATCATTAGTTGGAGTACTGCGTCCAGTTCTGGGCGCCACACTTTAAGAGGGATGTGGACAGCATCGAGAGGGTCCAGAGGAGGGCCACTCGTATGATCAAGGGACAGCAGGGTAGGTCCTATGAGGAAAGGTTGCAGGACCTGAACCTGTTCAGCCTTCAAAAGAGAAGGCTGAGGGGGGATCTTGTGGCCTGTTATAAACTGGTTAGGGGGGATCAGCAGGCGCTGGGGGAGTCCCTGTTCCCCCCAGTGCCGCAAGGAGTGACCAGGAACAATGATCACAAGCTGGCGGAGGGAAGGCTTAAGTTGGACATCAGGAGGTGCTACTTCACGGTCAGGGTGGCTAGGGTCTGGAACCAGCTTCCAAGTGAGGTGGTGCAGGCTCCCTCCCTGGGGGTTTTTAAGAGGAGGTTGGATGACCACCTTACTGGGGTCATTTGACCCCAGTGCTCTTTCTGCCATGGCAGGGGGTCGGACTAGATGATCTGCTCAGGTCCCTTCCGACCCTAGAAACTATGAAACTATTAAGGTCAACTTTAATACCTTCAGAGTAATGAACTTTCTAATTAAAGAAATGCAGTGACAGATGTTCAAATAACAAAATTTGTGTTTTTTAAATTCCTATTCTCAATAGGATCTCTTTGGCAATGGCTGTATCTTTTCTCTGTGTAAATACCAGGAAATAAAATAGTTTGTTTCACTTTGGCAGAATGCAGAGTACTTTAGGACTGTGTCCACCACATCTGCAGGCTGTTCAACATGAATACAAAGAGTACTTAATTTAAAGCAGAGTGGCATGATAAAGCTCTTTAATTTTGTTTTCTACAATAGCATTGTTTCTTCCTGGGATAAAAATCCATTTTAATTTCATACCAAATATCTCAGAAAGCACTTGATGATAAAGGTGTGGTGATTGCTTCTCACAGCAGATAATTATACATATTGAATATCTAGCCTGAAGAAATCCTAGAAAATTAAAGCACTAAGCCTGCAGCATTTGAAGTGAATGGAATTGTATCATTTATTTCAGTAGTCAGGATCACCTAATTGCTGCAAATGCTTACGGTTTGTATGCTATTCTTTCCCAAACCCTGGGGTGTGCCCCTTTTAGCATTTAAGAAGGACTATTCAAAGGTTATATAGCGTTTGGTAGCAATGTGCATACTAGTTCTATGGGAGGTTGAGCAAATCCAGTATTTTAAGCAGATGTCTTTCCAATCTTTTGCTGTACCCAGGGAACCAGCTAGACTTGAGGATTTGAGCTTGGGTTTGTCATGTGATAGTGAAATGACATTGCTGCTGCTGGTAATCTGTTAGCAGGGGAAACTCTTATGGTGTACCAAACAGTAGAGAAATGCCTACTGCAGATTATGCCTATAGTTCAGGCTAAATTAGCCCCTACAGAGAGCTGTATGCTGCCATAGCTAGGCTCTCTGGGGTAGCTGGACTTTTTATGGTAAAATCAGCTGGCTTATCTTGCACTTGACTGCAGTGTGAGACTTATCCAAAGACTTCTTAACTGTAGCTGTACACTTAATAGCTGCAATGTAACTGATACTTTTCTGTCATACCTTTTGGATAATCTTTCCCCAGCACATTGGACCAGCTATACCAGAAATTAGCTCAGTTTGGTTCAAATTGTATATTTACCATATTACTGGACAAGGACCACCATCTCTGTTGCTATCTAAAGGAACAAGGCTTCGAAAGCTTCCTGATATTTTTCAGGTATGTTATTCCCCCCCCCCCCCAATTTAAAATAGAATCTGAATTTTCTTCAGATGTATCCTGTACAAACTAGCATCTAAAATCTTTGAGTTTGGGGATTTTATGTCTCTTATCAAAGTGGGTAGTATGTGCACAAGTAGTGATACACTACACCACTAGAGGACTGTACTTACTGCCAGTAATTCATGATTAACCTAATTTTATATTGTTACTTGTATAAACATGAATAATGAATTACTACTGTAAATAGCTTGTTAACTTCTGTCTTATAGGGTTACGATCGCTTATTAATAACATCGTGGGGTCACGACCCAGGAGTAGTTCCAACTTCAAATGTGCTTGCAATGTTGAATGATGCATTGACACATTCTGCTGTGCTAATTCAGGTATAAAATGTTCTTTGTGAATATACAACAGAGCTGGAGCTATTTTATTAATCTGTGCTGCTGTATCAGACTAATTTTAAAAGCCTCCCTAAGTTTGTCACTTGTGTACAGCCATAAGGATTCAAACATAATATATATAGCAGGGGTGTTCAGACACACAGCCTGCAGATGTGGGGCATCTGGCTTATTGGGGTTTTTGCAGTTCAGAAGACACACTTCCAAATGCAGCACATGGTGTTGAAAATTTTCCTGTGTGGTGTGTGGTGACATTTAACCCTCTGCCCCACAGTGGCCAGACTGTGTGTCAACAGGGGCAACACCAAGGGAGGGTAAATGCTGCCACCACTTGCCCTGCCACAAAATTTCTGGGTTAAGATCCTTGCTGAGGATGTAGTTCTGCAGTGACATTAACCTGTGTGGCTACCAGTACCATTGTATTAGCAGGGCCAGCACCCAGAGGGTTAACACTGCTGCCACTCACCCCACTACTGGAACAGTGAGAAGTCTCACTGTCCAGATCCAGCCCATGAAGTCAAATGAGTTTGACATGCTTGCTGTTTAATAAAATACAGCCAGAACATGTGTGATCAAAAAACAACTGTGCTTGTGGATGTCACATTTTTCAAAGGTGTGCGTACTGACCAAATACCTTAGTCTTAGCACAGTTTTTATGCTAAGGTGTTTGTGCTCAGTGCATCTTCTTGTCCGGTAACTTTCAAGCTAAATGTATACTGAACTCCTTTTTAAGATCTATTTGTATTAGCTCCTGAAAAGGAAGAGAAATTTAAGCAACTTAAAAGCTTTTAGGTGATATAGATTTGCTGAAGTATATAAAATAAGGCTGTTAGCACATCCAGAGAAGCACTTGAAAAGATTAGAAATTAAAGATCTTGGATGTATCCAACTTCAGGCCCTATAGAAGGGAGTTGCAACAGTTACAGTGAGAACCAGGACACAGACTTCAGCATGAGGATCTGAGAGGGGTGATGCATTTGAGCTGTGTTACAAAGTAGTGGGAATCACAGATCTAGGAGAAGATCTTTTCAAAGAGAAGGATACCACTAGGGTTGAAGGCCACAGAAGAATCATAGAAAATTAGGGTTGGAAGGGACCTCAGG